TTAATTAAAAAAATAAATTAATAAGGGCACAATAGTATTTTTAGGTAAGATGGGGACCAAATGTGCACCAAAAATAAACAATAGGAACCATTTAAGTTTAAAAAATAACTTAGAGACCAAAACCACAAATTTCCCCAAACTACAGGGACCATTCATGTAATTTAATTTTTATTTTTCGTTTTGTTCATATTTGGGTAACTATTTTTTTTGTACACATTTAGGTAACAAACTTGTTGAAAGCGTTCACATTTACGATTTAACCTGCTATAGCAGGTCATAATAATCATATGTGAACACTCTCAAAAAGTTTGTTACCTACATATGTACAAAAAAAAAGATAGTTACCCATATGTGAACATACCGAAAAGTTAATTACCTTGATAAATCATATTCCCTTGATTTTAAGACAACATGTAAATGTTTATGAAATGTGTTGAAAACTTATGTAATAATATGTGAACTCATTTGATGACTACAAGTTATTTTAATCAATCAAACGTAGCATATGACCAAAAGACAAAATTACTATTTCGATGTTAAAAAACTTACCTTATAATATTGGGAAATTGAGCAATCTAACCATAATGTATAATGTAACATGTATTTGAAAAAAAAAATAATAACCATTTAGTCTAGAATATACATTTCGTACTAAAAAAAAAAAAATTTTCTAAGAAAAAAATACATTTTGGATTGTTTTCTAAAATGAAATTTCAAAGTTCAGGAAAAAAAAAAAAAAAACTCTAGAATTTCAATAACAATTCCGATATCCGATGAACAATTTCGAAACTTCAAAAAAAAAATCATTTTTACTTAAATCTAACAAAAAGTTAAACAAAATAATAAATGTGAACTTTATCGTATATATTATATTATGACTTAAAAGACATTTGATTTATAAACTAAGACATTAAACATTTCAAATTTGATATTTTGCACATAAATAGAAAGATATATTTGAAAAAAAAATGGAAAAAATAATAAACTCTGAAATTTAAAAATCAAATCTAGAACGCAGCATTTGGGAGTAACTTATCATTTTTTTTTTAAAAAATTGAAAAAAAAAATCTAATTTTTAATTGTTAGTTTAGTTAATATCTCCCTATACTATAAGTCTATAACAATACTAATAAAATAGTAGTTTTTTTGTCATGTGTCAACATATTATATCACTTAATTAATATGTTGTCACTTATTAATATATTAGTTACCCATTTTGAATTTATCAGATTCTCTCATTAATATGATGTTATTTGTCAATATATTTACTCTATTTTAAGTTTTAAATTTTATATTATTGTTTTCATTAATTCACCAATAAAAAATATCTAATATATATTAAAAATTAATTTTACATATTTATTTGAATTAACAATTATAATTTCATATAACTAATAAAAACATCTCATAATTAATGATTTATTTAAAATAATTAATTAATAATTTTGAGTTTTTACTATAAAAGTTTAATTAATCTTATAATTGTCGTTCTACTGATTATAAACTAGTCCCATAATATTTATATGCATCTTTCGATAAATAAATATTTATAAATATATATTAAACCAAAAATAATAACATGATATGATATGATACTAATATTTTCAATAAATTCATCATAAAAACTGAAAGGGTTTTTGACATAAAAGCCTCCAATTTTACCAATATATATATATATATATATATATATATATATATATATATATATATATATATATATATATATATATATATATGTCCAAAGTCGTTTTTTTTGTGCCACAAATGCCTCAAATACTTGAAACTTTGTTCAAATTTGCCATTTACCTTGATTTTACCTTCTATGGTTGGTAGTCCACCTGATCTTCTTTTTAAAGCAAAACCACCACCACACTCTGCCATCACCACCACCCTCTGTCACAATCTGCCACACACCAACACCACCACAACCATTTCCCGTCATCCACTACCACCCAACGCTACCATTATCACTCCATCACAACAACCCTTCACCACCTTTAACCCACATTTACCACACACAATCCACAATAATCAATCATCTTCTTCACACCACAACCTCACCATTAACCTACCTCTATTTATACCGTGAAAACAATGAAGCACAAGACTCACATGGTATCAGTTACGATAAAGCTCTCATTGAACACAATAATATGTAACATCTCCCTTAGTTCTTTCTTCAGCTCCAAATTAGCTTGCTCTTGATCGTAAACAAGATCAATACAAAGAATTTCATAAGTTTAGAAAAGGAATTTGCATCAGAAAGAATGGTTGTTATGAATCATAATCACACACAACAATTGCAAAAAATTAATCACCCACTAAAAGCCCTCATTGGAATGAAGCCCCCGAATAAAATCCCTTACTGAAAACGAATGTTCTGTTTAAAGTAAACCCCCATAAAGACGAGGGCTTTAGCGTGTAGACCGGTGATCAATGGTGGCTTTGAGAGAGCTTGTGGGGGCTTTAGTGGTGATGGATGGTCAAAAGCAAATGGTGATTTAGAGAGTTTTCGGTGGGGTATAGAGGTGTTGGTAGAAGCTCATAGTTTGATGGTAGCGTTAGATTGTAGATGGGCGGTCGATAGAGGCTTTAGAACGGTTTTTATGGAGAATAGAGGTAGTGGAAGATGGTCAGCAATGGATGGTGACTACGGGAAGGATTAACGTGACTAAATGACTAGCTACCTTCTCTTGACATGATAAAAGAACGTAAGTGAAAAATCTTACCCAAATGTAAGGCATTTGTGCAAATCGACTTCGGGCATAACCAATTTTTTTGTTTAAAGTTATGGGCTTTTATGTCAAAAACCCAAAATTAAAATCATTATAATTTACTTTAATTTTGTATATTTATTTTGTTAAAAGTTTTCATTATTTCAAAACAATAAAAATGATTTTCTCATGGTTTTTATTAAATGTAAATTTTGAAAGTAGGAAACCCTCGTTCTCCCATTGATTTGCCCATAGCGGATATATACAATACAATCAGGTCTATAACTATGGAAACACGTATACATCAAAATAATAAAAGATATTTACAATAAAACATAATATATATCTAATATATCAATATATATATATATATATATATATATATATATATATATATATATATATATATATTGACTAATACACCCCCGCAGTCTGACCGATGGTAGCAATCCGAAGACTGGACTTGAACTTCTGAAATAGAGGCTTAGGTAGACCTTTGGTGAAAATGTCCGCATATTGATAGTCAGCAGGAATATGAAGAACTCGAATGGAGCCGATGCGCACTTTATCTCGGACGAAGTGTATCTCGATTTCCACATGTTTGGTTCGTTGATGTTGCACGGGATTCCCTGTAAGATAAACAACAGAAACATTGTCGCAAAATATGATTGTGGCTTCCCGAGTAAATACAAATAGTTCTGTCAAGAGATTCCGAAGCCATGATGTCTCTGCAGTAGTGTTTGCAACGCCTCGGTATTCAGCTTCGGCACTAGAGCGAGAAATTGTGTTTTGTCTTTTTGAAGACCAAGAGACTAGATTATCTCCCATAAAGACACATATCCTGATGTGGATCGTCTGGAGTCTGGACAACCCCCCCCAATCAGCATCAGAGTAAGCAACCAGGTTAGTAGATTTGGAGCGAGTTATTGGGAGACCATGAGAAATAGTGCCTTTCAAGTATCTCAAAATCCGTTTGAGGTATGCAAGATGTGGTTCGCGGGGAGCATGCATGAAAAGGCATACCTGTTGGACGGCATAAGTAATATCTGGACGTGTGAAGGTGAGGTATTGTAAAGCACCAGCAAGACTGCGGTAGAGAGTACCGTCTGTAAGTAAGTCACCAGCAGTAGCACTGAGCTTGGAATCCGTGTCACATGGAGTGCCACTTGGTTTACAATCGAACATGTTTGCACGCGATAAGATGTCAGCAACATAAGATTCTTGAGAGAGAAATAAACCATGTGGTGTATGATGTACCGTAATACCCAAAAATTGATGTAACGTTCCAAGATCAGTCATAGCAAACTCCTTAGATAAAAGTGAATTGAACTGTTGAAGGAGTTGGGTATTAGAAGCAGTTAAGATAATGTCGTCCACATATAGGAGAAGGTAAGCCATGTCGGATCCATGGTTGTAGACAAACAATGAAGGATCACTTTTAGTGCTTTGAAAACCACAACTAGTTATGTAATTAGCGAACCTTTGGTACCATGCCCTGGGGGCCTGTTTGAGGCTATATAGAGATTTCCGTAACCTGCACACATATGATGGATTATTTTTATCAACATAACCTGGAGGTTGGGACATATATACCGTCTCGTTTAAATCTCCATGCAGAAAAGCATTCTTGACATCCAATTGATGGATTGGCCAAGATCTTGAAACAGCCAGGCTCAAAATAGTCCGGATGGTAGTAGGTTTCACTACTGGACTAAAAGTTTCATCGCAATCAATACCAACCTATTGTGATCTTCCATTTACGACTAAACGAGCCTTATATCTCTGTAAAGTACCATTAGCATGAAATTTATGACGAAACAACCAGATACAATTTATGACATTAGTATTAGCAGGTCTAGGTACCAATTCCCACGTGTTATTATCTAATAAAGCCGTATATTCGTCGGTCATGGCATTGCGCTAATTTGGATCATTGAGTGCAGCACTGTATGTCTTAGGTAACTGAGAAATGGACTGGGTGTTGTGAGTAAGAAGGTTTAAGGGTTGTTTGGGTTTGGAGGTACCATCCCTGAGACGGGTGGTCATAGGGTGACTGTTGAATATATATATATATATATATATATATTGATATATTAGATATATATTATGTTTTATTGTAGATATCTTTTATTATTTTGATGTATAAGTGTTTCCATAGTTATAGACCTGATTGTATTGTATATATCCGCTATGGAAACACGTATACATCAAAATAATAAAAGATATCTACAATAAAACATAATATATATCTAATATATATATATATATATATATTTTGACTAATAAATTTAACTCCTTTCATTCTTTCAACTTGTCTCAATCCGATCCAAGGGATTTATATACAGAAAAGAGAACACAATCAACTCTTTTTGGTCTCTCCCCGAAGATCCAGAAACCCTAACCCTAGCCGCTCCAACTGCTAGAAACGATACGAAAGAATGGCGGAGCACTTGGCTTCCATATTTGGTACGGAAAAGGACCGAGTCAACTGTCCTTTCTACTTCAAGATCGGAGCCTGTCGCCATGGAGATCGATGCTCAAGGCTCCACACCAAACCAAGCATCAGCCCTACCCTATTGCTTTCCAATATGTACCAACGCCCCGATATGATCACTCCAGGTGTTGATCCTCAGGGTCAGCCCCTTGATCCTAGCAAAATCCAGGATCACTTCGAGGTTTTCATTCCCCTAATTAAATTCCTCTTATTACTTTGTCGTATATCTTAACGATCTGTCTCTAATTTAGCTTGTACTAGCTTTGTTTGCATATTAAGCTATTCAGATTTGACGTCTGGTTTCATTTTTGCTTAGTATACGTATTTATAGAGATATCACATTCTTACCGACAATAAACACTTCTGAATACGTATTCCATTAGGTCAACCGGTATTGGTGCTTCATTTCATACCGGTATTGGTGATCCTCATCTATCTCATAGAGATTAGTAATTGTTACTAATGTAGTGTTGTAGGGAAGATGACTCTTGTTTGTTTAAATCTTCATTCTAGTGATCCTCATCTAACCTTCAAATCCATGTCTAAAACACAGGATTTTTATGAAGATCTGTTTGAAGAGCTTGGCAAATACGGAGAGATTGAAAGCCTAAACATTTGTGATAATTTGGCTGACCATATGGTATAATCGTTTCCACATTTTCAAATTCATTAACTAATTGCTTATTAAATGCTCACTAAGATGAAGTTTCTTCTCTCTATATAGGTTGGAAATGTGTATGCACAGTTCAGGGAAGAAGAACATGCTGCAGCTGCTCTCCAGAATCTCAGTGGAAGGTTTTATGCAGGTTTAGACATTAATTTCAACTTTACTTTCTTATCAAACAAACTTTTCAAATCATCAAAAATGTTCTCCTTTAAACAAACTAATGATTCGTTTATATCTTCAGGTCGTCCCATTATCGTTGACTTTTCTCCAGTGACAGATTTCCGTGAAGCAACTTGCAGACAATATGAAGAAAACGTATGCAATCGTGGTGGCTATTGCAACTTCATGCATCTAAAAAAGATCAACAAGTATGAATCTTTTCATTTCATTTTACATCTTCCACCACTTTTCATCTTCTTATTTCTATCTTTTTCTCCAGAGATTTGAGGAGGCAGTTATTCGGGAGGCGTAGGAGGAGTCGAAGCAGAAGCCGTAGTCCTCCGAGACACCGGAATCATGATGACCGCCCACAAGGCGGTGGTGGTGGTGGTGGTGGTCGTGGGTATGGGAGAAGAGGTGGTGGTGGTTACTCTGATCACCGGAGCAATGACAGGGGGAGGCGGCCGAGGAGTAGGAGTCCGGGGAGGAGAGGAGGGAGGAGCAGAAGTCCGGGAGGGAAGAGAAACCGGAGTCCGGTTAGGGAAGGGAGTGCTGAAAGAAGGGCAAAGATTGAACAATGGAATAGAGAAAAAGAACAGGCGAAATCTGGAACTAATAATGCTTCGAATGTTAATGAAAATAAGGAAGTTGGTAATAATAATGATGATGGTGGTTTACAAAATGGGGAAAATTACCGTGATGCCCCTCAGCAGAAGCAGCAAGATGATGGAAATTATGATTACTGATTGATCAATGCCGAATTGTCTGGTTTGTTTTCTGTTTCTTGATCTTGGTTTTATACAATTTGTTTTTTTTTTTTTTTGAAAGATAAATGAGAGTTTAAATTGATTTGGGCGAATTAGAGGAGATAAGTAAAAGTATTTTTTAAAAAGAAAAAAAAAAGGAATCCCACTTGGAAGATATGGCTTACTGCCTGCTTTCCATGTGCAGGAGTACAGGTTGACCGGTCAAATCTATTTTCTACTTTTGTTGACCTATAATGGTTTGTGAAGAATGGTAAATTGTTAGAGGATTAGGTTATTGCAGGGGGGTATTGAAGTAATTTTATAAGAAATGTGATCTTACATGATTTACTACTAGTTTTGCAGGTTCAGGGAAGGTGCTTATTTTGTGCAGTTTATCATTATATTTTTATACAGGTCATCTTCATCAATGTTACAGTTGAGGAAGTAAGGTGATCAGAAGTTCATTAATGGTTGATTTGTGAAGAACAGCTGGTGAAGTAGGAAATCTGATGTCAACTTCACTGTTTTTGTTAGGGAAAAGTCAGTTTCACTGTTTTTGTATGTTTTTGTAACGTTTGACAACTTTTTGTTGGTTTTTGGTTTGTACTATGAAAGATTGAGAAGTTCAAATGGAGTTTTCTGTGATATTTCTGATTGAATTTTAGACTTGTTGCCCCCCTTTTTTATGGCTTAAAGTGTTGGTCTGTAGCATTTGGGCTAAGTGTTTAGGGTTTTTGGTATAGAACATAAATGGAATGTTCACCAAAGTGACTACTTTTGGTCGATGAATGTCACAAAATAGCCTTAATGCGTAGATTTTTGAAATTCCATGGTTTTTTCAACTCACTTGTTTTTGTGACTTTTCAGAAATGAACAGTTGAGCACCACTTTGAAAATTCAGTTTACATGTTTATTAAATAAAAAATTTGCAAGTTATTTAAGTTTTAGTATATGTGGACATGTTTGTTATATGAAATGACTATTGGTATCAAAGTCTTTACAAAAAACATGATTTAGTATTTTGATATGTTGAGTTTTTTTAGAGATGGAAAAGGAGAGAAGGATAAATAGCCATATTTTCATCTGCCCAAAAGTGGGCTGGTTGGTAGGGGGAGGAGGACAGACACAGTTCAGGTGTTTGCGATTTGACTACTTGAAACAACTTATTATATATATTATTTTTTAAGCAGCACAATCTAGTGTCAAAAAACTTGATTGAGCTTCAGTGGTAATTAATGTTTCTTCTTAAAAATTGTAGCTATTCTTTAGATAAAAATATCTTTTTTTGTGAATAATACCTTGGTTAGCATCATATGCTTTTAGCTTGATTTTATGTACTCACGTTTGAATAGGGCTATGTTTTATTTGACAACACATACACACCTAAAATCTACGAGCAAATAGCATATATTGTCAAAAACAGATGATTACATTCAACCAAACCAAAACCATTAATCACCATAAAAATGAGTAGATAGAGCATCATCAACATAACTGCCATATCATCAATCAATATTCCAAACAGACAAGATTAAGGATAGAATTGTTTTTTTTCAATACTAAGTACTAACAAACCTCTACTGTTTAAACATCATCATCATCATGATATTCAAAAACTACTACCCTCCTCATCTTCAACAAAATCTTCCATCCTCTCACTCACTTTCCATTCATTTACTTGCACTGTGCTTCGCCTGGTTATGAGACGAAAGAGCACCCTCTGTCTTAAAGTTCCTGCAAACACACACACACACACACATTATAAAACACATACCCTAACATTTACACAACATATAATCCATCAACAGAAAAATCAAAATACCTGTTGCACGATTTGCAAGAATGAGCACCACCATCAGTAGCCGGACTTTTCTGGTTCGACTTGCTTCCGCCAGCTGGCGTCTTAGCAACCGCCTGCTTTGATGGATGAGGTGTCGCTATATGCACGGCTCCACCCTTCTTCCCTTCTGTCAAACAATATTTCAACACAAAGATTTATATAAACTTCAACGTTATCTATATATAAATAATTATATACTATATCATTTATAAAACAAAACAAAAAACTAACCAGTCTTCTGAGGGGTAGCAGCAATCTTTGTTTTCTTCTTGTCAGAAGGGGTCTTGCTTGCAGACTCATTCTGTCTCTTCTTTCCTGATTGTTCCTGAATTATCATTATTAAAACAAACACACAAAAATCAATATTTATATATGCCATGTAATCATTCTTAAATATAAGTTTATATCCAACCTTTTTGGGTGTCTCTTCCTCCTCATCACTGTCTTCTTCATCATCAGAGGAATCCTCATCATCCTGAAAAACAATGCATCAACATTTTATGTTTATATGAAGGCTTCAATGGCAGCTTCTATGCTGTGTATGTATGTATGTATGTATGTATGTATGTACCTCATCATCAGAATCTTCAGAAATTGCATCAGAGTCATCACTGTCATCATCATCATCTGACTCTTTCACATCTTTTTCAGGTTCAACAATCTTCACCTTCTGTTTTCCAGCAGCAGATGACTTCTGTTCTTTCTTAGGAACTACCTCTTTTTTCTCCTCTTTCTTTGCCTCTTGCTTTCCTAAAAACACATAACATTTCTTTCAATTATGTCGAACTATCAGATATTCAAGAAATTAGAAGCAAAACAATCCATTAGTCTATTACCATTAGCCACTGGAAGTGGAAGCTCTTCCTCCTCATCATCCTCAGAAGAAAAATCTTCAGACTCAGTGATCACAGAACACAAAGGGAAAATTGGTCAAGGTATCAACAAAAGACATAAACATTATTAACACAAAAGATTTCAAGTTGGAAAAACAGGTTGGTTGAGAAAAGGATATCCATGGTCATCAGCAGGGTTGTCAGCTTTGTATCCATACAAATAGATGCTGCTGTTTTTTGAGTTGTGTGAGACTTGAAAGTCTTTGTCAAAGACCAAGTCGAATAGCTGTTGTGGAATCTTCTCAGGGATAAGGGTTCCTAGCACAAGTTTTTTTCCATCAATTGTTATGTGCATGCAAACAGATTCCTTTGTTTCCTTCTTTGTTTCACCAAGACAAGCCTGAGTAGCAAGAAATTTAGTTAGTTGTATAATTAATTATGCAAAACGAGAATATTTCCATTGTAGCAAAGTATTTTATACCTGTGAAAGGTGCAAAACCTTGCCTTCACCAATGACTACATCAAATGACTGGCCACATTTGATCTCAGCACCTGTATCAACAGAATAGAATTAAGAAAACTTGGAGAAATGAAATACATGTAACATTAAACAGGAAGGAAAACTAGGGTTATGAAGAACTGACATTAAGACAACCAAACAATATTCGCATCAGAAAGTTGAGGATGCAGATAACAGAGGGTTGATGGATAAACACCACCAACCACAATATTTGAAACATAGCAAGAGCATTATTGCAAAGAGCGCTCCTCTATATAATCTTATAAATCAAATTTATTGTCTCGTTCCAAAGGAGACAGGGTTTGGTAACATGAAGATACATAGAGACATGAACAGAAAATTTAACCGATTCTGATATATGTAACATTGAGAAAAACAGTGTCCTAGCTAGCATTTTAGTTGCTAATAGTCTACGAAAGATATAACAAAACTTCAAATCTAGACCAACACTTGCAAGTCCTCTTTCATAATAAGAAAAGTAAATCTCTTCAAATGAAGACGGATCAAACAACAAAGCTTAAACACATACTGAAACAGCCTCCCATATCCCGAAGGAGCATAGCGTGTTGACAAATTAATACATAAAGCTACATTCTATTTAATATCAGCGAAGAAAAACAGCACAGATAATAAAATTGTAAAAAACATACATATACGAAGCATCTAATCTCGACTTGAAAACATAAACATACAAAGCATGTGCACGAAACCACGAAACGGAAACAGACGAAAACGAAGAACATCAACAAGGTAAATATACTAGAAGATTTGCGTTACTGGAATCATTATCAAAGCCAGAAGATGGTACGAGTTTTCATCGAAAAAAAAAAACTAACGCCATAAATGAATAGCAAAACACAAATAGAGCGTGTACACGTCAAAATATAAACGAAGAGAGGCAGATTCGTTACCCCAAAACTCCATTGATGAAGAGGAAGAGAAAATTTCGTGAGAGAAGGTAGCGGCAGAGAGAAGTGTGTGTGAGCAGAGAAAACGTTAGGGTTTGGAGGAAACGAATACGGAGTTATAAAGGGAGAGCGGGACGGAGGTATGATACGCTATATCGCAGACTACCCTTAAACTTTTCAAAAATAGAACCCGTCACTTTTGCCCGAAAATGTTTTTTTATTTTCTTTTTAACGTTTGAGATAATACATAGATAATATATTTGTTTGTAGTAGAATATGAACAAATTGTGGGAAAAAGGTTAAGTTTATATTAGTTATGCTTGAAAATCAATGTCTAATCATTTTGTAGGTGTTCGATGGCATTTCTATTAAGTATTAAGTATTAACCGACTACAAAAGATTACAAGGATACAAATACAATACATTGTCAGCCATGGGCCGATAACCGGGCTAATCTATGATAGCATTTACTTATATAGGGATGAGAATTTGGTCCGGAACTCAAACCGAATTAGGTCCAAATATGCAATTCGATTCGGGTTTCAGATATCTATATTATACTTATTTGGTTTTCGGGTTACCAAAATAAGAGTTTACTCGGTTCTAAATACCCGACCCAAATAAGGATTCCTCGTCCCCTTTCTCTTATCGACGGAAATCAAAATCGCGATTCACACTTCTGTCATCGTCGTTCAAAATAGAAAAAAAAAAAAAAGAACTCTACCCTCATTCTCTTCGTTTCAAAATCGACCAATCTTTTCTACTATTTCCAAACTTAAAATCACTTCTGGCGATCATTCATCTTGTTTCGGACTTTCAAAAATTGACATTTCCTATTGTATCTAACGAGTCACAAATTCCTACTTTGTCTAGTCATGAAAAACTAGGCTCCAACTCAAGAAACTCAAGTAAGAAATTAATTCACATTATGTTAATCTACTATGTAAATGTTATTCTTTCAATATGTTATGTTAGT